AAGAAAGCCTTTTAAAAATGAGGAAACCCTTCATGCATTGTTGGTGGGAATGTAAATTGATACAGTCACTATGGAGAACAGTATGGAGGTTCCTTTAAAAACTAAAAATAGAACTGCCATATGACCCAGCAATCCCACTACTGGGATATACCCAGAGAAAACCAGAATTCAAAAAGACACATGCACCCCATTCTTAATTGCAGCACTATGTATAATAGCCAGGACATAGAAACAACCTAAATGTCCATCAGCAGACGAATGGAAGAAGAAGATGTGGTACATATATACAATGGAATATTACTCAGCCATAAAAAGGAATGAAATTGGGTCATTTGTAGAGACATGAATGGACCTAGAGACTGTCATACAGAGTGAAGTAAGTCAGAAAGAGAAAAACAAATATCATATATTAACACATATATATGGAATCTGAAAAAACTGGTATAGACAATCTTATTTACAAAGCAGAAATAGAGACACAGATGTAGAGAACAAACGTATGGATACCAAGGGGGAAAGGGGGGTTAGGATGAATTGGGAGATTGGGATTGACATATAAACACTATTGATACTATGTATAAGATAGATAACTAATGAGAACCTACTGTATAGAACAGGGAACTCTACTCAGTGCTCTGTGGTGACCTAAATGGGAAGGAAATCAAAAGAGAAGGGATATATGTATACGTATTGCTGATTCACTTTGCTGTACAGTAGAAACTAACACACTTTATATTGTAAAGCAACTATACTCCAATAAAAATTAAAAAAAAAAAAGAAATTAAAGAGGGGACATCACTACAGATCCCATGGACATTAAAAGGATAATGAAGGAGTATATGGGGAAAACAAAATAAAAATGAGATAATCCTTAAAGCTGAAATTTTGAATTCCATTATAACATATTGTGTAGATTGATAAATCAACTTGCTCCATTAAAATGGTGGCTACTTTATAACTGATACTTATTCATAATGCACATCATTAGCCTAATTACAGGGCTAATGAGGCAATGGAGTAAATGCTTAAAATGTTCAACATCAGTTTCTAGGTATTAAGAATGATACATTATAGCTCAACATTAAGTGTATATACATTTTATACTTTTTTCCTCACTTTTTACATCTTCTAAGTATATGTTTCTCCAGATAGTCTTTACCTCAGATTTATCATGAAACCTTGAAGCCAGTAGTCATTTTTCTCACAACTTCACAACTTTATATATATATCTATATATATATATATATTTTTTTTTTTTTTTTTTTTTTTGCGGTACGCGGGCCTTTCACTGTTGTGGCCTCTCCCGTTGCGGAGCACAGGCTCCGGACGCGCAGGCTCAGCGGTCGTGGCCCACGGGCCTAGCTGCTCCGCGGCATGTGGTATCTTCCCGGACCGGGGCACGAACCCGTGTCCCCTGCATCGGCAGGTGGACTCTCAACCACTGCACCACCAGGGAAGCCCACGACTTTATATTTTAATAGCATTTTCTATTTTAAATAATAATTGAGAAATTTATTTGCTAGGACAGTGACTGATTTAAAATTTCCCCTTACTGGTTTTTTTTTAATGATTACAGAATTAATACATGCATCACAGAATTATATAACTCAGAAAGTTAAAGGCTGCAAAATCTGATTTCAAATAACTCTGAACTACCTAGTGTTAACAGACTGGGAATTATACCTCAGATTTTTAAAAAATCTATACACATGCAAATATTTCTGTTTTTATAATAGTATAATCATATCACACATATTTTTAAAATAATTCTATATTTGTAGTCTTGATTACTAAAACCTTATGACTGTGTGTGTGTATATATATATATACACACACACATATGTATGTGTGTATATGGTTTGTGTGGTATATGCATTTGAAATACATCACTCCACCCAAATATAACTATACCTTAAAATCTGGTAAACTAGCTAACATGATAGTTTTAGTCTTATTCTCTGGTACTTGATTCTAAAAAAACATTTTGCTGTATTTTATCCTGACAGGTTACTTTGAAATACAAATGTATTAAAAAAAAAAAAGAAAGAAATACAAATGTATATATGCATACACACTTATACAATACATCCAATGTGTAGCCAACTGTCCTAGCAAGGTAAATATATACAAAAAGAAGAGAGGGACAAATGGGGGAATTTTTTTTTTTAATTCCTGCATAGTCTTACCTGATTTCTTATTTGAGTTATCTGTCATATAACATTTTAAAGAAGTCAAAATCTGTATGGGAACATGATGATACAATGAAACAAACAAGTTTTTAAAGTATTTGTTCAACTTATATATTTTTTTTGTTTAAAACTATAGTAGTTTTTGAAATTTTCATGTAGAAAGCAATTGGGATAGATTTTTCAAGTGATGATCTCCTGGGAAATCTCTTTGCTAATTTATATATTTCCAGATAGTGGTAGTATTCACTTTGAGGATCTTAGAATCACCAGAAGTTCTAGCTGAAGAGAGATTCTGATTCAGCATGTCTGGCGTGTGGTCTGAGATTCTGAATTTCTAAGAAAGTCCCAGGCAATGCCAATATATTGCTGATCTCTGGAGTACACTTTGAAGAGGAAGGCTTTAGGACAAAACTTGGCAAACTTTTTCTGTAAGGGTCCAAGTGGTATTTTTGGCTTTGTGGGCCATGTGGTCCCTGTTACAACTCTTCAACTCTGTCATTGTAGCACCAAAGCAGCCAAAGACAATACTTAAAGGAATGAGTGAGACTATGTTCCAATAAAAAGAAATAGGTGGCAGGATAGGTGTACCTTAGCTTGCCAAGCCCTCCTTTAGGAGACGACTCTGAAATTAGATATTGCTTATAAAAAATTTCTAATTTTTGGTTAAAAAGTATATATATGTTTATATATATTCAGTGTAAGATGGAGTGGGCTTGTTTGTTCAGGTTAGTTTTATAGTTGTTAGGATGTAACACACATTTCTAAAAATCTCATTTTACACTAATTTATACTAATTTATACTAATTACTGCACACCTAAATGGTGAACATAATAACTTTTCCTGAATATCTGAGTTTTAATGAATAAATGATGATGATGAAGTAGTGATGAAAGGTCGGCTAAAGGCTGTTTGAACGAACAGGAAAGCTTACAATTTGAGGATGTTTAAAATTATAACAAAATAAATGAGTTATAAAAAAAACCCATTGTATTAATTTTACTCACTTCTTTTAGATTGCGAGTCTACAAGTTACTTCCTTGCCAAGAATGGGAAGAATTTTTCAGGGTTAAGAAATAGACTAGGAACTATAAGTAAAACTAGCTTCCTTTTACCAGGCCTTGTACAGAGAAGGAAGGATGAAGTGCCTGCCCTGTAAAATTGCAAAGTTATAGAGGTCAAAGAAAGGTCAGGTAGGAGAGAGCCTGGAACTAACGAAATGTTGTAAAAGCAGAAGACCTCAAATCCATTCTAAAGTAGGCCAAGGGCTGTGATGTTCCATATAAAATGGATCAAGAGGCAGAGCTGAATCATCCAAAGTAAGATCTGAGTAACTAGAGTTCACAACCTTTGTAGTCTGAACTAGAATCGTATTAGCTAGCACTATCAATCATCCATCCGTCTGTCTTACATCCCTTTCCCATTTTTTTCTGTAGCTATTCCAAATCTTCACTTTGCATTTTAGTTTTCAGTGGACTTCACTTCCAGTTTCATGAAAGGTCATCATGAGAGTACTTCCTGCTTCTTCCCTCCCCCTTTCATGATTACGAACTTAAATTTACATCCACTTTCATCATACCACCCATTCCTTTTATCTCAGAATAAAGTGTTCTTCTCCCAATTTTACTTCCTTTGTTGTAGATCCACCGCCCCCGCTTCCCACCGCACCTCCCCTTTTCATATACCTTCAGCCTTTCCTTTTATATCCAATATTCTTGTTAGGATATTTTTTAAACATTCAAGTTTCTCCTGTGTTAGAGAAAAAAATCCTCATGCCCAGATCTCTCCATAGCTAAATATCTTATAAGACTAGAGAAGAGATAGTCTCTGTTTCACAGTGACTGTAGGTGCTACCACATGTGTCATGTGTTCACTCCTACACTACAATTTTTCTCCTTGAATTGCCTGCAGAACTCTTAATTACAAAATTTAACTTTCATTTTCAATCCATTATTTGAAACGGTTTATCATTCCTTTTCGAAATGCCTTTCTTTCTTAATTTCTCTGGCATCACTCCCTCCTGTCCAGCTTTCTGATCACTATTTCTCACTTGTGGCATCCTGTTTCATAAACTACTACTTTGAGTAGCAGAAGTCTGGCCAAAAATTTCTTAGTCTGTCTAGCCTGTCTTGAGCCTCTGTCCTGAGAATCTTCCTTTTGGTTTTCATTTGTATTTCCTGTTGCTTACTGGGAGTTTTTACTTCAGTGTCCCACAGGTATTTGCAGTTTAGCACATCTTAAATTGACTTCATTATTTCCCACTTCCCACCGACCTGTACCTTCTCTTGGGTTCCCTATCGTGGTGAACGGTGTTTCATCCAGCCAGTAACTCAAATGAGAAACCTGGCATCACCTTCAGTTCTTCCTTCTCCCCCAGTAACTCCAGCCAGTCAAGGATAAAAAATAATGGTTGACATTTATTGTGTTTATGATCGTGTTCTCAGTAAATGGGAGGCACTGCAACAAGTGCTTGTTAATAGTAACTCATTTAGTCTTCACAGGAACACTAAAGAGAGGAATTATTAACCTTATTTTAAAGATGGGGAATTAGATTTCCAGGTAGGCTAAAGTAGTCCTGTAAATAATAGAGCCATGTTTAAACACCCTGTGGAATGAAAGTTAGCTTTCCAAGTCTTTCACTCTCACCATACCAAACTATTAACGATTTCCTGCATTCTCCATTGTGTGTTGCTTCTGCACATATTGTATTTGTTTAGAACTCTAAATTAGTCATACTCAGTTTTAGCTCAGGTGTTGACTCTTCTTTAAAATCTCTCCCCTTCTACAAATCGAATGGCTCTTTTGTCTTCCAGGTAATGCTGTCTACAGAACTTTACTTAGCACACTGTGTGACTAGACACATCTTTGAGGACAACATTGATTCTTGCTTACTTCTCTGTCTCCCATATATAATGCCTGATATAGGAAATTCATACTGTAAATTTTGGTGAAGTAAAATAATGGAAAGAAAGTTAAGAAAATTATAAAATAAAGAACTTTAGAGTATAAAGGGTGAATGTAATATATGTTTTTTTCTAAATGAGAGATATAGCATTTCCTCAGTGAAGAAAGCTTTCTCTTTGAAATTCTAACCCTTATTTCTTAAATAACACTGGTAAAGTTATTTGGAATACACACAGTTCCCCAGCAATTTCTGTAAGTAATTTGTTGTATCATTTTGTGTTTCTGAAAGAAACATAAAAAATGCTTGGTAAGTGATTGAAATATGGTGAGGTTTAGTATTTTCTTTCAGATTTTGGGTTTGGCTTAAGAACTTTTGACTCCAGATAAAGAACTGATAGTTACTCCAACCAAGCTCACACAGCTTAAAATTCTTTAGGAATTAGAGATTTCTTGGCTAGGTATAGAATGAGAAATAAAAGGCAGCTCAGATGTGTGAAGAAGGAATAGATTAGTACCAGCTAGTTCATCCTGTCTCCTACTGAGTCAGTCAGACACAGAAACAAATAGCCAGCTGGTTCTTAATGTAGGACTTTAATATAATTTCCTATTCTGACAAGCAGAGAGCTTTCTGCTTAGAGCAAAATCAGTTGGCAGTGATGCTACTGTATTAAATTGCAGGAGTTCTGTCATAAAAACATGTCTGAAATGTGGGAATATATGTGAGGGAAAGGAAATACAGGAATTAATATGGTAAGGAATGAAGATTTCAAGAACGTGGAGTCTAGTATGTAGTACAGAGATTCAGTTTGGAGTCAGCCAAACCAAGGCTAGAGTAAAAACAATAAACAACATGAAATGAAAAAAAAGCTGCTAATCTGTTTGGTCTCTCTCTTAAATAAACAAAGGTAATTTATATGAAACTTTTGACAGTGGCTTATTCAGTGCTTTTATTTGTGGTTCAAAAGTAAGAGCATAGTCACTTAAATTGCCAGAATCATTGAATTAATTTGAATCTTAAATTTGAAATGTATTCCATTCCTGAATAAATGAAAATAATTAAGGTATATGATGATTTATTCACTTTACAAGTTTCTGTTAAATATAAATATATTGCTAGAAAGTACATTTCCAGACTACAAAATCTAGATATAAATAGTGGAAGTCTGAGCTCTCTAGTGAATTATAAAGGGAGGAGTGATTAAGAACTCATAGGAAGAGGGTAATACCAAGCAGAAATGCACACAAACCTATAATTCTTCAGTCTCATTCTTCCCTCCACCTCCTGAGTCTGCCTGTATGTTATTGTTTTTTTCTCTGTTTTGGATTGGGGATGGGTCTGGATTTAGGTGTTTTACTTAGAAGGAAGGAAGAGTTGAAGTAGAAGATGAAAAGAATTTTTTAAAATCTCATCTGTAGCGAAGCTTTCTTTTCTGTACTAGATAGTGGCTAACGTTTATTGATCATTTGGTATGTGCCAGACACCTGATTCTCATAAAAACTTTATAAGGGTAGATTTTATTTTCATTTCCATTTTGGGAAATTGAGGCTCAGAGGTCAAATAATTCTGGCTTCATACCCCTTGTAAGTGGCAAAGCTTGGCCCTCAAACCATCTCTGTTTAGCTACAGAGCTCGAACTCTTAACCACTAATAGGAACCACATGAGTACTTTTTTGTAGGATTCTTTATTCTTAGAAGGGAATTCTTTAGAACCAAAACAAAATAGTACCTTTTTATAACTAATCTTTTAGGATATGGAAATAGTTCTATTATAATGAGCCTTTCTTTGTAACCATGTTTTCTCTAGTAATTTTTTCTTATTGAGCAATATCTCCCATTTCCATATTGATTTCACAAATGTACTGCAGTGGACTAGAACTTTATCTCAGGATAATAAAATCCATATTTAAGAATCCTAACATTTACTTTGGGAAACATTCTGGTTTTGTCATTGAGTTCTCTGTGTATTTTTCTACCTATTTTTAAATGGTCAACTGAATAGTCAGGTCTTAAAATTTTGGATTAGTATGTTAAGTGAGGTCATATATTAATTTTCATTATATTTGTGTGTCTCCTGGATTGATTCTTTGGGACTAAAATATTTATGTATTGATAGTTATACTCCCTACATCATTGTTTCAGTTTAAGCACAGGTAATGTTGATGAATTAACCAATTTTAATAGGTAGGAAAAAAACTACATAATCTCATTCAAGCGTTTTTACTTATTCTGTCTTTGCTACTTGAATAGTCATAGAAATTTAAAACTGTAAGGGATCTTAAGTTTATCTGATCCAGTCCTTTACTTGATAACCATGAAATCTTAAGTGTGTAAGTTCACTTCTCCTGGTTTTGTCCTTTTCCCTTTATACCACAGTATCTCATTTGCTAGTCCATTGCCACATCTTTGAAAATTGACATCAAGGAAAGTTGACCTTGTTAACTCTGTTTTTTGCTCTGCTCACTTGTATTTTATATCCAGTTGACAAAAAAGCATTTTGAGCAAAGGGGTATTTTAGGGAAATTAATCTGTACAATATGTTTTAGGTATAAGGAGAGAATGACTTGGAAAGAATTTCATCATGAATTTATTTTCTCAGTCACATTTATATATGAAATAATAATTGGGCAATAAATACATTAGTTATGAGAAAAATAACTGTTAAAACCACAACAACAAAATCTGTAGGTCTATTAAAATTAAAAAAGACTGACAATACTAAATGTTGGTGACACTGTGGAGCAACTGAAACTCTCATATGTTGTTGGTAGAAGTGTAAAGTAATCAACTATTTGGGGGAAATGTTTGATGCTTTCTACTAAAGCCACATTTATCATACATCTACCTTATAACCCAGCAATTGCATTCCTAGGACTTCCCAAGAGGAATGAGTGCAGATGCTTACCACCCACCACAGGTGTGTACATAGTATCATGTTCATAGTAGCTCTCTTTATAGGAGCGCCAAATTGGAAACAACCTGAATTCCCAGTAGTAGACTGGATAAATAAATTTTGGTATTTTTATACAATGGAGTACTAAACTGTAATACAGAAGAACACACCAGTGCTACTACAGCACCATGGATGAATTTCACAAACACTACTTGAGAGAAAGAATGCAGACACAAAAGAATACATCATGATGCCATGTAAATGGAGTTTCAACAGCAGGTGAAACAAGTCATCATGATAGCAGACAGTGTGGTAGTTATCTGAGGGTTTGAGTGAGGGAAGGTGGATATTGACAGGGGAGAGGAACAAAGGAGCTTTCTCTGGTGCTAGAAATGTTCTGTATTTGATCTGGATGGTAGGTACATGAGGGTATACCATAATAAAGATTCATTGATCTGTATATATGTTAGGCATTTGCACTTTACTGTGTATATTTTATTTATTTTTTTATTTTTTTTGCGGTACGTGGGCTTCTCACTGTTGTGGCCTCTCCCGTTGCGGAGCACAGGCTCCGGACGCGCAGGCTCAGCGGCCATGGCTCACGGGCCCAGTCGCTCCACGGCATGTGGGATCTTTCCGGACCGGGGCACAAACCCGTGTCCCCTGCATCAGCAGGCGGACTCTCAACCACTGCGCCACCAGGGAAGCCCTAGTGTGTATACTTTAAAAAGTAAAATGCATATATATAAAGAGAGATTGAGTAAAATAGGCACCATACTTAGTCATAATTTTTCAATTCAAAATGTGCCCTCTACAAGAAATGAATGAAAGGCTTTGACAAAGGGGAATCAAGATACCTTCAGCTTTTTACAGGACTTCAAAGATCACAAGAGGCATAGGAGGGAAGACTTACCAGGGGTTCTCTGTATCTTCCTCGGGAGAAAAATCACGGTGGGTGTTTGAAAAGGAGCTTTAAATCAAGCGATTTGTCAGATTTTTAGTCCCTTGCCTGGCAGTACATGTGTGACAATGGCTACAACGTTCCCCGTGGGAGTATGGTGTGTTTGAGATGGTAGAAAGACTAAGAATCACTGCTCTGGAGTATTTCTTCATTGCCATTAGATTTCCTTGTTGTGCCTGGTTTGTGACGGTTACTAAGCATTTGAACTTGTATATCTCAGTAAAGTTCAATTATATCAACATTGTAGTTATTATAATTTCCTAAAGTTCAGTAAACTGTACTTTAGAGATTCTTCTATTTTTGTGGGAATGCAGGTTCTCAAACTAGTAGAAGAGAACAATTAACTCCTGAAATTCTGTTCCATGGTTAACTTTGTTAGTATGAATTTAAATGTTCTCAGGTCAGTAGTATTTTTTTTTTTACAGTGAATGATAATGCTGATAGTTATGATTAGATTTCTTTTTCCTAATCAATTTTTGGAGGAATTCTTTTTTTAAAAGGAGCAAAGCATTTAGTGTATCTATTTTATTTTACCGTACAGTAGGTAATACAGCTAGGTAGATTAGCCCTTAATGGCACATGAGAAGCATCTTAAACTAGTCCCAGTTGAGTAAGATTGAGTGGAGAGAGTAAATAATAACTCCCATGGACCAAAACAGGGGGCCATCAGGATACGTCAGGGTCTTCTATAGTCTCAGGTGAATGCAACGGGGTTGTTCTTCAAAGACAGTATCTTCTATACTCTCTGCCACTGATCTTACTGGACTGGAAATCATTATAATGAGGTGTCTTCGGATGTTAATGTTGATCTAAGTACTTCCCTGGCTTTGATCTGTGCTTAGGAAAGAAGAGGACAAGGAGAATGATAACCCTCTCAGCCCAGGGCCCTTATTACTTAGGACTTTCCATTCTTAGTACTGCTGGTGTGTACCTCCTCATATGTCCTTGATTTGGATTGCTCCCGTGAGAAGATTCTTTTCTGTCTCTGACACCAGTTGGACCCTACCTTCTATTCTTTTTAGTATGTCTCATCCTTATTAGGATAAGCAAAGAGTATTATTGCAATACAATTAGTGCAAGGAGTGTTAAGAAAATGTAGTAAAATAAGTAAAATTGCTGCTTGATAGAGGGAACAAATGTCACATGAGCTATTTGGCTCTCATAGTAACCATTAAACAGTGTCTTTGCTGACACCTAGGAACTCACTGAAAGCCACTTAAGTAACCTATTGAGAACTGAAATGTCTATAAAAGACATAATCTGATTTATGACTCACATATGGACAAGTGCTGTTTTTAGTGCTCAAAGAAAAAGTAGAATTCCTTCATGTAATCTAAAAAAATGGTACAAACAGGACAAATACTTGAAATAATATGTATTTTAAGTTATAAGTGAGAACAAGAGAGTGGGGAAACACAATGCTAATTTAAATGAAAGAACATGCTTGTAATGTAACAAGATACGTACCTTAGAATTAGGTGATGGTACACGCATGTGATTGTGAGGCACAGTAAAGAAGTTATAGGGATCAAACTGAGCATTTTGCTCTAAGTAATGAAATTGAAAAAATTACATTTGATAACCAAGACTTATATTTGACAGATCTATTACTAATTCTGAAGATGTCTAATACTCTTCTTTAACTTGTATATTAATGTATAAAAGATATTTGGGAAACATGTTTCCAGATTGTAAGCATATTTGATAAAAACTGATGGTGTTTTTGTTATACCAAATTACATTTTCCTTTTTTCGTTTGTTTTTTTCTCCCCCTAGGAAACTGACTGGACATTCTTTCCACATGGGCTATAGTATGGCAATTTTGAATGGCATTGTAGCTGCTCTTACTGTAGCTTGGTGCCTCATGTAAACCCACACTGAAGCAATATTCTTGACAAAACTTAGTCACGATTGCTTTGTAATAACAGGGAAGAACATCATTGCCTACTCAGAAGACCAAGAAACCTGCTGCTCGTTATGTGCTTCAGATACGTGTCATATCATCATCATTATGGAGGACTTTTTAAGCATCGTTCTAGAGCCTAGGCATTGGGAATATCTAAGTATTAAGTTTCAAGTAATGCTTAAAAGTGTAAGACGTTTACCTCATCTTTTTACTTTTGTGTGCATTGTCCTTATAAGTTGTAGAACACATTTTAATGGAACTCAAACCCGAAAACTTGGATGCAGAACATCCTGTATCAATGCCTGCCTTTTCATGTATATGTATATACTACATTTTTGCTAAGAAATACTGATAGTACTGTTTGAGATAGAAATATTTCTTATTTATTCATTATATTAGGAAAGCAAACAATGCCTACTACTTTGACATTTTACAGAAGCTACTTTTAAATCAGAATATTTAGTTTTCGATATATAGAAGGTGCATTTATATTTTTTAATGGGCTATGGTTCTTTATGTGGTTTTTTACATATTTTCCTACTATATCTTGAATTTGTATGTTTTTAAATTGTTACATCTAGGCAAATGTAAATGTTATTTTTAGCTCGTGCAAACCTTAATACCTACCGTTTTTAATAAGTATTTTGTCTTTTAAGAAAAGCACACTGGCCTGAGTTTAAAACTAAGTAAACTTATTTTAAAAAAAACAACAAAAAAGTTTAATTATTTAAGCCATGAAAATATTCAGGAAATTTAAAGCTATTCACTATTTCCATTTTCACAATTCCAAATATTTATCATGGTGTATATATGATTACTTCAACAAAACTGATATTATCTTGTTTTTAATAAATATAAACCTGAAGTTTTTATGTTTAGAAATGCTTGAACTAGTTTGTTTTTAATCTCCAAAATTTGGTTACCAAAATAGAAAAGGTATTTTGATACAGTGTGTACATGTATAATTTTTTAATGTATAGTTTCCTTATTTTCCTATTTAAATGTTTTCTTTTGTAATTGTGCTGTTTTGTTTTTTCATAGTAATTAAGCCTTAGTTGTTCCCACTTCCTTTCTAAATACCTGTTTAGAATAGTCACTTCAATTTTAGAAAGATGGACTATTTTAAATACTGTTTTCCCTGGCCACAGAAAAACCTACATTAGGATAGCATTGTGTAGCAAAACTGCTTATTTAGGCCAAATGGGAAATGAGTATCTGCAGTGTGTTCCTGTTATCTGCTGATTGTTGTTACTGAGTAAATGATTTAATAATGTTTCTAAAAGTCTTAACATTTTTTTACTACTCAAAAACCTTTTATTGGAAATGCCAAATGCTGCTCTAATTTAAATTATCTGAAGTGTTTCGATTAATATGGGGGGAGGTGTAAGATATACACACATACATATACACAAATCCCATGGCTTAAGTATTCCTTCCAGAGCGGTTGTCATATGAACCTATTTTCACTTCCTGCCTTCCTCACTCAACCTCCTCCTTTCCCCCTAACCTTGGCTCTAAAGGGCTTTTCTCTCCACCTCCCAAGTCGTCCCCCCTCCCCCACCCCATCATCAAATTTGGATAGCTTCTTCCAGATCTTTCTGTCTTATGACTAAGAAACATATAGTAGACCCTTTACATGTAAATATCTGTAAGACATTATATCTATATATAATATAGATATATATCTGTAAGATACTTCTTCCGGAACTCTGTTTATTTTGGACTAGCACTCCTCTTTCTTGGGAAATTTCTCTCTCCAGTCTAACATAGAATCCAGATATAAACTATCCTGCTTCATTAGCAGAGTGATTGAGGATAAGTACCTAACCAAAGCTGGGCCAATTCTAGTTTCTTATCTTTTCTGGCCACAGTGATTTCAACAGGAATAGAGACATGACTTAAATTAGGCCAGTCCCTTCCCAGGATTTTTCAAGTTGAAATTAAGGTAAATTAAGCTGGGAAGATACAAGCCCAGGAGATGCTGGCAGCCAGGGTTTAGCCAAACTCAGTGGGAAAGAATAAGGCTGACACTGATGCTACTGATGACATTCCTCTAGTCCCTGAAGCCCAGTGGTGACCCTGCCATTCTTGAAATTTGGTTTTCT